GAAATTGGAAAGGGTACAGAGAAGAGCGACAAGAATGATTAAAGGTTTAGAGAACATGACCTATGAAGCCAGGCTTCATGAACTGGGCTTGTTTAGTTTGGAAAAAAGAAGATTAAGGGGGGACATGATAGTGGTTTTCAAATATCTAAAAGGGTGTCACAAGGAGGAAGGAGAAAATTTGTTCCTCTTGGTTTCTGAGGACAGGACATGGAGTAATGGGCTTAAAGTGCAGCAGGGGAGGTTTAGATTGGACATTAGGAAAACATTCCTAACTGTCAGGGTGGTCAAATATTGGAATAAATTGCCAAGGGAGGTGGTGGAATCTCCCTCTCTGGAGATATTTAAGAACAGGTTAGATAGACATCTGTCAGGGATGGTGTAGACGGAGCTTGGTCCTGCCTTGAGGGCGGGGGGCTGGACTCGATGACCTCTCGAGGTCCCTTCCAGTCCTATTATTCTATGATTCTATGATTCTATGATAATGGTCCCTTCTGACCTTGGAGTCTATGAATCTATGAACAGAAGCTCCTGCTCTCCCACACCTTCCTTCACCACACAAGATTTTTAAGCGTAAAAAGGGAATGCTACTGTCTGAACTACATCCCCGTGAGTCACCAGTAAATCCTGACCGCAGAGCCACTGTAGGTTTGAGCCATCAGGAGTTTGATTGAACTCCTGGCCTTAGGAGATGTTATAATCAAACCCTAGCACGTAGCTGAATACAGAAGTCCCAAGCATATTCCTTCCGTGGCAGAAAATAGCCTCCTTGGGACGGTGCAAGGCAGGGGAATCCAGGACTGGGAGTGCGTTGGGATCCCCCCCACGTAACCCAGGCTGGTGAAAGCCAGGGTGTGACTGGCAGGCTGCAGTTACACAAAAGCATATGGGAGCGACCTCTGTGCTGGCGGCTGTTTGGAGGCTACAACAGCCAAGAACTGCAGGGCCCCCAGGTGACAGGGCAGGGGTCACTGAGCCCCCTTCCAACTGGTCTGAATTGTACCTACGTGTAACTGGCCTCCTCTCCATGCTGGTATGGGACATAGCTGCCTCCCACTTACCGCAGCTTCTGCCCAGCAGCACCGATCAGTTTGTGATCCCCGCAGCAGAAACGTGGCTCCGTCCGGTGGGTGCTGTCCTTTGGGGCGGTGGCGAAGGGGACTACCTGCTGGTCCCTGCAGTACATATTGGGGAGGGCATCTCAGCCTGGAAAAGCTCAAGCCACCAAGTGTGGTGAAGAAACTGAAATGTGTCTCTGCTCCAGCGCTGACACATGCTCCGACTGCGTGTGGTGCAGCTCTTCTGACGTAGCCATGAAAATGGGAACAATTACACTGGCTACCAAAAATATCACTAATGGTTTAAAAATAGCAAGGCCTGTATTTTCATCTAACTGATGTTGAAATCCTTACTGGAAGTTTCTGATGTGCTCTCTTCTTTTTATTCCCAGCATACAAGGCCAGCTAGGCTGATGCTGCCTTTTACCCTGGCAGGGTACCTTTATTAACAGTCCATGGCCATTTATTAACAGTCACATATTTTATGATGCACAACTATCTTTACCAAAACCCACTTCTGCGTCACAGCAAGCGTTGTTTTCCTTTCACTAACCAGGCTGCAGGGTAGGTCCATGGGAAAGTCGTTGTGTAGCTGATGTGCAGTATGAATCTGGCCAACTTCTTCAGACCTCTCCAGACAACCACGTTCCTGTTAGAATGAAAGGAGAATTCTCCTCATCCCTAGGAGCCCTGCATAGGGGCACCCGGAAGATATAGGTGTGCAAGCAGCATAAGATCGGTAATGGAGCCTGCCCCTGGACCTGACCCGTGACTGACATCGGTGGCAAGGCTCACACTGATTTCAAAGAGCTATTCAGGGGTGGGGGGGTAAACCACTTCTTTGACTCTGAGCACCCACAACCACCCCCCTGAACCGAGCAGCAAGTGCTGCAAAGGACTGCCCGCAGATTGCTCAGTAAAGACCAAGCAGACGTGGGAAGGATTCACAAATACCCTGGATTTGTCTCATCTGCACACACCAGCAGCACTCCCAGAGTGCAGGACGTCCGCTCCCCAAGAAGTCCTGGACACGCTAAAAGAACCTTCACTGAGGACCTGTGAATCTACCCCATGCCCTTCCAGGCTCAGCTGACGCGACCTGTCTGTGCATGCACGTTCCCACACCAGCTGTACTGTGCTAGTCTAGTGCATTCCCCTGCCAGCTTCCTGTACCACCAGATACACACCCCACTCTCTGTACACACCCCACTCTCTGTACACACCCACACACCTACCGTTGTGGTCTACAGGCAGCACACCTGTTTCCTGCACATTCGCAAATACACACCAAACTCTGCTGTCTGTGCACAAACTCAGACCTGCCATCTGTACACGCACCTGCCACCCCCTACCTGTGTTTTGTGTACACAGATGCACACTTTTGTCTGCATCCCCACACCGGCTGCCTGCTCTCTCTCACAATTGTGCCCATGTTCAGTTATAGACAGCCGTGCCCCCTTGCACATCCGCACACATTCTCCCACACACTGCACACTGGCTCACAGAGCTCACAAGACAGAATTTGACTGTAACGCGGTGGTGTTGTAGCAACGTCACTCCCAGGAGATTGGAAACACCCGGCAGCTGAGGCAATAGCTTTCCTTGCTCACCCTGTCCCCTTCTTAACAGGAATCATGCAGCTCATCTGCAGCTGCTGGTAGCAAAGATCCTCAATTCCTGGAGATGGGGCAGTGGCCGGGGAGGGCTGTGAGTTACTACAGAGAGCTCTTTCCCAGCTGTCTGGCCCCATGGTCGACGTCCAACAGATGGGCATATTTGAGGGGAAGAAGGAATTTTCTCCTGAGTCAGATGAGCAGTGGGGGGAGGGGAGGGATTTTCGCCGCCTTCTGCAGTGTAGGTCACCGGTCACTTGCTACTCTGACCTGGAAAAAGGGGTGGAGTCTCCAGGATTCGGAGCCTGTAAATCCTGACTTGAAGCCTCCAGTGACTCAGCCAGAGATTAGGGGTCTCTTACAAAAGGAGATTTCTGAGGGGCTGTGGCCTGCAATGTGCAGAGGCCAGTGTAGGTGACCATGACGGTCCCTTCTGGCCTTGAAGTTCAGGGCTCTGTGAGGCTAGAGATGTGTAAAAAGAGAGTAGGTCTGCTTCTCAGCCTTTGTTCCCCCCCCCCCACCATGAAATAGATAAGTGAGTGGTGTTATCTCTTCTTACACATGAGAGAACTGGGCGTCAGAGACCCTGCGGCCAGAGCAGTAGAGTCGGGCAAAGGGTGGAGAAATGTATTTGCAAACGATGATGTTTAGCCATAGGCCTTACACTAGGGAGCTGCACGTATTTATTATGGAAAAGAACATGACAGGAAAGAAAGAACAAAGGTAAAGTCTCCAGGCGAGAGCGCTGTGTGTGTCTCTCCCCCCCCCCCCTTTAAAGGTCTGCACTGAAATGAACACAAAATGGCGTCCATTTCTGTAAAGCAGGCACCGTGCTATTTAGAGTACACAGAAAATAAAATGGCAAACTGCTGCAGTCCACCAAACTCGCTCTACATTGCGATTCGGCTCAGTAGTGCTTGTATTAGCCTGTGACAATCCACCATGCTGCACTTTGTATCAAGGACTGTCCGAGGAGGCTTTATTCATGCAAGGATGGCTATTTGCATGAACGCACGCACATACCCCTCAGAGGCGCTTGCCCTGGGACGCCAGCCAAGGAACCACAAGCCAACTGTGTGACTGACAGCACTCCAAGTACTTTACAAAGTCCATTTATTCAGCCTCACAACATCCCTGTGAGGTAGGTAAATACACTGGTGTGCCTGCCTTAGGGAGGAGAAACTGAGGCACACCCACATTGCTTTATTAGCCCACGTCACAGAGTAGCTCAGCAGAGGAGCAGAGCGTACAACTCCGTCTCCATCCCCAGCTCTCCCGTCTAGATCGCACTCCCTCTCTATCTTGACTTCTACTGTTGTGCCTCCCCCTCCCCCCCCCCGGTCAGTAGAGAGATGGGGGCGCTGCTTCCTGTCCATGCGTGTGTTTCATCCACAGACTGGAGCTACGGACATTATAGGGACGTCCCCCTCCAGTGCCAAGGCTGCTCGGTGCGGTTGGACCTGCACTGTTACGGGCCCTGTTACAGCTGTACAATAGACAATGGGCTGTGTATGGGTGGGTCTAGACAGCACCCTTCTGTCGGAATAAGCTGCGCCATGTGCGCTGCACAGTTTGCAGAGCCTATTCCGAGTCTACGTCCAAAGAGCTTGTTTTGAAACTTGGCGCTGTGTAGACAAGGCCAAATTTCAAAATAAGGCCCTATTCCGACAAATCCCTTAACCCCGTGGAAGGGGGTTAGTACGCCCGCTATTTCGGGGAAGGCTTTTAAAGAGGTGGCGTTGCTGTTTCGGGACACTGCCAGTATCCTGAAAGAGCAACGCCTACCCTCCGTGGGACCTTGCATCTTCATCTGGACACGGATTCTGGGTGTCCTCTTGGTTCCTCAGTGCCTCCAAGAGCAGCTGTACTTGGTATTGATCATGCATGCAAAGGCCCCACTTGGACTGAACCCCCACAGACCTTGGGGCTCCTGTTCACCTGCGTTAGGCTGGTATGTGAGGAGAGAGGGGGACGGACAGGAGAGAATGTTCCCCGGAGCCTCTGGAAGGGAGCTAGGACCTGTCTCTCTCTCCCATTTGCTCTTACACGTGTTCCCTCAATCCCAGACAGTCTGCCCCGCCTGCACATCATGCATCACACCATGGACAAAGGACAGTCCCTGTCGGCCAGCACGCTAGGGCAGCCGGCTGTGGAGGGAAACTGCTTCCCAGTGGCGAGTGGGCGGGACACTGTGATTCTTTCGCCCCGGATTTTCAAACCAAACTTTCTAAGCCTCAGAGGGTGGCTTTTGGGTCTAGAAGCCTCTTCCTCCCCTACCTTGCGGCAGATCCGATAGTCACACAGTCCCCTCTTGCTGAGCACGCCCCTTGAATCACTCCAACGGGAAGACGAGGAAGTCCAAAGGGTCGTTGTTTTGAATTTGATGGAGAGAAATTATAAACATGCCCACTCTGGGCTTCGAGGGGGAGAGGAGCTGACTCACTAGCCCCCAGTAAGTCTGGTTGTCTGTCTGTATGTAATGAAGCCCTTCATTGATGCTGAAGTTTAGCTTCTCCCCCTTCCTCAGAAAATAGGGCCTCCCAAAATGTATGGAGGCCGTGCCCTCCTCAGAATTGGTCCCAGTTATCTGGTTGTAGAGAATCTTCTCTTGGTACAGCGTGATAGTGAAATAACCTTGCGCTTTCTTCGTGCGGGTCACCTGGGCGTAGATGAAGTACATGCCGCTTTGCAGGATCTCCAGCGTTTGGTTAGCGTCATTCTTCACAAAGCTGCTGCAGCTTGTCAAGTTCCACTTCCACGTGACGATACGGTCCTTTTCGGAAGGCACTTCCGGAAAGAAACCAGGCAAGGAAGAAAACCAAGGGAAAAGCAGACAAGGCGGTTAGACAAAGCCCAGTGCCTAGACTTCCCCTTGTCGGTTTGTAAATGCTCCCCAATAGTTGACACTCTCTTCTGACCTTTTCCTTATCGCTCTGATTTCAGGTCTCAGGGGAGAAGAGGGAAGTTATGTGCATTGTGGCTTTTCCTTGAAGATCTTCTCTAGGAAAGGGTGTGAGCCGCGACATTAAGATCAGGACCCAAGCTCTGAGAGTTCTGGGCTGTTTGGAGCTGGGGGTCTGTTAACTACATGAAGGGATTCCTCTCTTCAATCCAGACCTACATTCTGTCACCCGGGATGCGAGGGGGGATCCCTCGGCCCAGGGGCTTGGTCTGAGCCCGTCTCTAGTCAGAAACAGAGAAATGTCTGATTGCTGCTCACAGGGCCCCTTCTTGCTTGGCCACTCTAAAATTAGCCCAGCTGTCCCTCTGCTTGGAAAAGCTAAGCAGAACTTTTCAGAAACCGACTCCCTCTCCTCACGAGTGGCGAGAGCACCTTCCTCTTTCAGCCTGCTGCAAGCTGTAGACACAAATCCAGCCCATCCCCCCCAAATCAGCTTTTCGCTCTGGACAGTGCCGGTCCATGCGGCATTTCCTTACTCACCCCTCGGGGGCCTGTCTTGCTTTTCAGCTTTCTGTGCTGAATAACATGTGCCTCTATTTCCTCCCGCTACTGTCCAGAGCCAGCAGCTCTCTGGGAGACTGCTGGAGTCTATCCAGATACTCATCAGTCATCAAGAGACTTGTTAGCTAAGGGCTTGTCTATGCAGCACAGTTTCACTGATTTAATTAAATCTGTTTAGAAACTAATCCGACACGTTCTTAACTTGGCTGGAAAGGGTTTGATATCGATTTCGTTTCAGCCAGGAAGGAACTGACAAGCTAAAACTAGGTCTTGCTCCAGATGTAACAAGTTGCATTTCTGACCTCTTTCTTCTTGGTGCTCTCTTACACCAAACAGACCCCGGGATGAGATTACAGGCGGCACATGCTAGGAGAAAACCCACCTTTTTTCAATGAGTCCTATTTCAGAGCAGAACTGCACTTTAAAAGAGACGCTTTATCTGATAGCGCTGGGAACAGAACTGCGAAGTGACTAACACCCACTTGCCTACAGCAGCCCCTTGATCACCCAGGCTTCATGTTTCTCTGTTTCCATTATTTACCGCTGTTCGTTGAGACGGGAGAAATACAGGTGGAATCTCTCTAGTCCGGCACCCTCGGGACCTGACCAGTGCTGAACCAGAGAATTTGCCAAACTAGGGGAGGTCAGTATTGTCTAGAAGCATCACCAACACTTCCCCTGCTTCCTGGGCTCTTAGAAGACATTCAGGGGTAAATTAGAGCTAAAGACCAGCCCAGAACCCTGAGAGCCAGGCCTGGGGGCTGTAAACAAACTTGATGGGACTGTGGGAAACTTGACCACACCCGTGATAAGTGGACATGTGACTACTCAGATCATTCCAGCCCACGGATGTTGCCGGACTAGACATGTTCGACCTGCACTCCAGTCTTGTAATCTAGTCGCCTGCACCAAACTGTCTGAATGGTAGAAGTCAGAAAACGTGATACTTACAAGTTGCATGAGCCCAGCAGATCTCAGGAGACTGTGGAGAGAAGCAAAGTTTGGTCAGGATGTTGCATGCTATGGACGGGGACGTCCACCCCTATCAACTGACATTCCGTGTGTGCGTGCGGCAGGCCCCAGACACCTTTCGGTTATAAGAGGAGACCGATTTCTCTTTGGTCCCTTTCAACTGGCTCGTCGCTTTCACTGCAAAGCAATTGCTCTCTCTCCCTGGGGCTGTTTTCATTGGCATTGTCGGCAGCGATTTTGGCAAGAGCAAGAGTCTAAATGACGTGGGAGACCACAGACTCCAGCGTCTCTGTCGCTCTCCAGTGGGCAAGCCATGTCTAGGGGGTTATGAATCTGTGGCTGCCCTGGAGCTGTGGCGGTGGGAGCTCTTGTGTCTAGATGCAGAGATTCTGGGTTTAAAACATGCAGAAAACCCTCCAGGAGTTGTTACTCCACCTCTCCCTGTGGCTTTGCCCCTTTTGTGAAATGACATCACACTGCATTTTAAAGCATACACAGTTTATTTGATTTAAAAGTGCATTGACGCGTCTCCAGGAAAGGTCAGGTGTGTGGCCAGCCGGAGCGTCTTCTCGGTGGGTGGGCGCCACGCTACAAGCTTGCCCACGGTGGCATCCCGGGAAGTCAGTGACATCATCGTCCTAGGCCTCTGCCCTCGTGCCTCCAACTGCTCCATTTGAGCCCCCAGCTACACGTCAGCCCCAAGGCCGCAAGAAGGGCAGCTCAGTCCCGCCGCCTGGGGAAGCGTGTGCACATGGGCGCGGGAGGAGGAACCCCAACTCACTGGCTCTGTCCAGGGCCCGACTTCCCTGCCTTCCCTGGCGAGACTCTGGTGAGCCGGGGCTCGGCGCCAGGAGATGGGGGCTCGCCAGCAAGCTCTGCAGAGCCGCTCAGTTCCAAATACCAGACTAGCAGACTTGTCATGACCTTGCAGCTGGATGGAGTCAATTAGCTGGTCGTGCCCTTTGCTGAGTAAAGCGAGGGCTTGGTCTGTTCCGCCCATGGTCTGTCAGCGGAGGGAGAAAAGGGGAAGGAGGTAGAAGTCTTACGGGATGGGGTGTGCATTCATCTGCCAGTGGCATGGTAGCTTACGGTCAATGGCAGGCAATTTTGAGCACAGCACGTGTCACGGGGCTCCCGTGTTACAGCTGCAAAACAGACTGGTGGGAAGGGGAGGGGGGAGAACTTAAGAAAAAAAGTTGCACCAAGATGATTTTTTACAGCTCTCCCCTCTGCTCCTGGGGGGGGGGGGGGGGCGGCG